ATGATACATGCATGAGGACTCCCAGATTCCTCTGTTCTTGGCTTTCTCCAGTCTTTCTCCATTCTCCATAACCTCATATTTTCCCACATATTATTTGCTCTGTCACATACTTTGTCCACTAGCTTAAGCTGTCTATACCCCTCTGCAGACTCTTTGTGTCATCTTCTTCATTCACCTTCCCATCAATTTTTGTGTGATCCACAAATGTGATTATAATACATTCACTTTACTCATCCAAGTCATTAATATATATTTGTAAATAATTGTGGTCCGATTACTGATCCCTGAGGAATATCACTAATTACAGGTTGCCATCCTGAAACTGCCCCTCTTATCCCAAATCTTGCCTTCCGTTAGTTAGCCAATCCTCTATCCTTGCTAATATGATACCTCCAAAACCATGGGCTCTTATCTTATTAAGTAGCCTAATGTGTGGTACATTATCAAATGTCTTCTGAAAATCCAAATATATTATAATCTACTGTTCCCTTTTATCTACTTTACTTGTTAACTCCTCAAAAAATTCTAGTTAATTTGTCAGGCATGATTTCCCTTTCATGAAGCCATTCTGACTTTCTTTATTCAGATTATGATTTTTAAAAATCATATTACACTTTATCATATTTTGTATTTCTAAATGCACTGTGATTATAACCTTTACAACAGAATCTAACATATTGTCATAGGATCATAGAGGTATACAGCAGGGAAACAGGCCCTTTAGCCCAACTCATCTATGCCAACCAGGTTTCCTAAATTGAACTTGTCTCATTTGTCTGTGTTTGTCCCATATCCCACTCCTATCCATGTACCTGTCCAAATGTCTCTTAAATGTTGTAATTGTACACACCTCTACCACTTCTTCTGGCAGATTGTTCCATATATGCACAACCCACTGTGTGAAAAAGTTGTCTCTCTGTTCCTTTTTAAATCTTTCCCCTCTCACTGTAAACCTATGCCTTCTAGCTTTGGACTCCCCTACTCTGGGGAAAAAGACCTTGGTTATTCATCTTATCTGAGCCCACCATGATTTTATAAACCTCTGTGATGATACTGTGGCTTTAAGAGACGTATTTTGTCTTGGTTTATTTTTGAAGAAAGGTTTTGAACATTTTCCCCACAATAGATGTTAAGCTAACTGGACTGTAGTTACGTGCTTTTGTCCCCTTCCGTTTCTAAATGAAGGTGTTACATTTATCCTCAGATCTGAAACTTTAGTTCTGCTTCTTTCTTTACAGATGCTGAGTACTTCAGCATTTTCTGTTTTTGTTTCAGATATCTAGCATTGGCAGCATTTGCCTTTGTTTATCAAAAGTTTGGTTCAGCTTCAAATACTTGTCACTGAGATGGATAGAGCTGATGGTGATGATACACAACTTGTGGCAGGGATTGTAGGCAATGACTTCTGTTTCTCCAGAATCTGGTTGAAGAACATTTTTGATGTTAAGTGCTGAATTTTGAACAAACAACCTGACAATTTAGAGACAATGGAAATATGAGAGAATAATGAGATAGAGCCGGGCATTGTTGATGCATCTGGGGTACCTTATGTGTGCTTTTAAATGGTGTCGCTGAGTGACAGCATGTAGTTGAATGCAAGAGGTAAAGGAAGAAGATATTATGCTGTTAGACTTACATAAAGACAGGTGTCAAGAGGTTTATGTAGATCATGTACACCTATATAAATTTATTAACTGTTTTTGTGCTTTAAGTTCTACGTACATCTGATCATGTTTCTTGGTGAAATGCCTGTATGGTATGGACTAAGTGCTTCCCTATGTCCTGAAGAAAAGTTTGATGAAGGATCACTGAGCCTGAAACATTGAATCCACTTTCTGTCCACAAATGCTGCCAGACCCACTGTACTTTTCTGCTTTTGTTTCTGATTTTCAGCATTTGCAGTTCTTTGTATTTTTCTGCTTCCCTACATGTTAGCTCACATATCACATACCATAAATTCTGAGTTCTTAGAAACATAGAGGTCTACAGCATGGAAACAGACCCTTCAGCCCGATTTGCCCATGCCGCCCAGTTTTCACAATTTAAACTAGTCCCATTTGCCAGCATTTGGTCCATATCCCTCCATGCCTATCCCATCGACGTACCTGTTTAAATATTTCTTAAATGATGAAATTGTACTCACTTCCATCACTACCTCTAGCAGCCTGTTCCAGACACTCACCACCCTCTGTGTGAGAAAAGTGCCTCTCTGGAACCTTTTGTATCTCTCCCCTCTCACCTCAAAACTATGCCCTCTAGTTTTAGACTCCCCTACCATGGGGAAAAGCTGTTGGATGCCTACCTTATCTATGCCTTGTATATACCTCTATAAGGTCACCCCTCAGTCTCCTACAGTTCAGGGAAAGAAGTCCCAGCCTATCCAACCTCTTCTTATAACTCAAACCTTCCAGTCCAGGTAGCATCCTAGTAAATCTTTTCTGCACACTTTCTAGTTTAGTAATATCCTTTCTACAGTGACTAGAACTGCATGCAGTACTCCAAATGTAGCCTCACCACCGTTGCGTACAGCTTCAACAAGATGCTCCAACTCCTGTAATCAATGCTTTGACCGATGAAGGTAGCATGCTGAAAGCCTTCTTCACCACCCTGTTTACCTGTAACTCAATTTTCAAGGAGCTATGAACCTGTACCCCTAGATCTCTTTGTTCTATAACATTCTCCAGGGCTCTACCATTGACTGTGCAAGTCCTGCCCTGGTTTGCTTTTCCAAATGCAACACCTTGCTTACCAAATGCAACACCTTGCATTTATCTAATTTAAACTCTATTTGTCATTCCTCAACCCACTGGCACAGTTGATCAAGATTTTGCTATATTCCCGGATAACGTTCTTCACTGTCTCCTATACCACCTATCTTGCTGTCATCCACCAATCATTACTAATCGTACCTCCTTTATTGTCATCCAAATCATTTATATGAATGATGAATAACAGTGGACTCAGCATCAATTCCCTGTGGCACACCGCTGGTCAGCAGCTCCCAGAGTGAAAACCAACCCTTTACCACTACCCTCTGTCTTCTACTGTCAAGCCAATTTTGTATTCAGTTGGCTAGCTCTCCCTGCATTCCATGAGACTTAACCTCACTCAACAACCTACCATGCAGTTCCTTGTCAAAGGCCTTGCTAAAGTCCATGTAGACAATGTTTACTGCACTGCTCTCATCTACTTTCTTGGTCACCCCTTCAAAAAACTGTTGAAACAGATGTCTTGAAGTTTCCTAACAACATTATTTACACTGTTATGATATCACATTTACACACAATCTGGTTTCTTTGCTTACTATTCCTGTTACATTACAGAACTGAATGAATCAACACAGTCTACTGACTCCACTGAACTGAATCAGGAGTGACTGAAAATGAGGACCTTTATACCAGGATGTCACATATCATGTTGTTGTGTAATGAGACACTGCATGTCTGGTCTGGAATCTATGAAATTGTATAATAATTTCTATAGAGCACAAAGTTTCTATGTTCCCAAACTGGCTGTTCAAATGTTGAATTTCTACTTAATAAGTTCACAGCTGAAAAACATTCTGCATTCTTCCAAAATATCTGTACGAAAAATAATAGCATTATATTGTCAGCAATACTCTCTGTCTGATCTTACTAGTTCCATAAATTCCCAGTTTACCCTTCCTTCTCAGATTAGTGGGTGCTGTCAACGCAAAACACAAATTGCAAAGCATATTTTCTAGGAAATGCTAAGAAATCAATACGATAGTTGAGCACTCCAAGCTTGAAATGCTGATGGTTTGCAGGAATGCTTTCATCATTTCTTCTCTCCTTATTCAGTAACCCACAAGAAACTCAGCAGTATCCAGGACAAAGCAGTCTGTTTGATTGGCAACCTGATTGGTCAAAATCCTGGAACTCACTCTCTAACAGCACTAGGATTTCCTACACATCACAGACTATAATGGTTCAAGAAGGCAGTTCACCAGCATCTTCTTAGGGGCGTCCAGGACGAGCAATAAACATTGAACTATTCAATGCCCCAACATCCCTGGATGAATGTTTAAAACCTTCATGCCCAGTGAACTTGAGAGGGTACTACTGAAGGACTCTCAGAATAAGAATGAGCAGGAATACGTGGTTGCCCCAGAAGAGAAGCATTAATCTCTTATCAAAATGACCTGTTTATGCCATAAGTAAACCCCTGCTCTTTTGAGAAATTTGACAGCCTGGTGAGAATGGGCCAAGCAAAGATGTTTCTGTTGCTATTCTGTCAGCAAGGACATAAAAGTGGTGAGCTGCGAGTTAGTGCATGAATTGCTTGGCTGATACATTCATTGGCAGTAAATTGACCAACAGTGTGATGTTCCCTATGTTAGCCGTGAAGGAATCAGAGGGCAAAGATCACCTTGATTGCCAGAGCCAGCACTATAGCGTTATAGTGGCTCGCAACAGGCTTGCTTTCAGTCAATGACAGTTATGCAACTGTTGCCCTGATCAATGTACCTTGTAGAAACATTACCAATTATCTGTTCCTAAATCTAGGAAGAAGGTTAAAGGAATGATTACAGTGTGGGTAATCTGGCAGCAGAGGCACTTGCTAGCCATGTCACCTTCTATTCTTATTGTGATCCTACCATGAAGGAGCAATGAATGTGTATAATTTGCAATGTAATAGCCACAAAAATATGTGTATATTGCTGGCTTTTAATGCCCATGTTTCAGGACAAAATGCAGTATTACACTGGAAAACACTGGAATTATTATGCTTGTTATTGAATAAAATGTAGGTGCCTCATAAATGTTCTCAGACATTCCAGAGAAGTGGAAGTACAGGTGGTCGATATCCAGCTCAGGAATCTTGTGCACCACGTGAGATACAAGGAGTTGGTGAGTTCATTTAATCATAATATTCCATCCTCCACTGGTTCAGATCTTGCTGTTAAGAACATTTCATCAGCAAATTCTACTCTCACAGGACCAAATGATTGTTGATAATTAATAGAAACATGTAGAACATTCATATGATATGCACATTTTATTTTGTTCCAAAAATAGCAAAATGTATATTAAGGACACTAATATGACATTAATAGGAAAATACCTGCCAAAATACGGTCCAATACACAGACTCAAGCTTTGTTACTCAAAGAATGAACACTCCCATCCCAATTTAATAGACATTAAAATAATACTTGCTTTGCGTTGATTTAATGCCACTCACACTTTAGATTTGTAAATCCTGTCCATTCATCAGGGATGAACAATAAATCTAAATGCCATTCTGGTGTTATTGTCTGTCTGGACTGAGATTTGAATTTGGCCAATACCTGAGCCGCTGGTTAATGCAGAACTGACAAACACAGCATGAAATATGTCTGCGACACTCCAAACCAGCATGAAAAGAATTCCCATAGATGCAAAGATGCCAGTTCTGATCACAATCTACAAGTATTCAATCTTTAATTTGTACTGAAAATAACATCTCTTCAAAATAGACATGCACTTCTCACGTAAATACATTTCTTAGAAGTGCCTTAAAATATAAACACATGATACAAACCAATGCTCCTTCAAAACCTTGTTTCTGAAGCTCCATGCCGTAACTTGTTATCTAAAAATTCATCATTTTCAAAACTTAGATTATTATGGGATCTTGAGATCATAAGTAATTTCTCTTTATTTGTATAACTGCCTTTTACACTAGCCTGTGGAACGGGTAGTGTGTCCATTGGATCTTCTTTGTTTTCCAGTTTCACATAGCCCTTGCTGTTACTGCGATCAAGTCTTGGCCAGCTTGGGTGCTTTCTTTGTTCTGCTTGCACCGTGAGTGTTGAGGGACCTCCCTCCAAGTCCAAAGACTTTGAATGACAGGACAACATGTGAAGTGAAGTGTTTGATCCAAATTCTTTCTTGGGGAAACTTGGTGATAGAAATCTTCCCATGGATGCACCAGAAGATATGGTGGGTGGTTTTCCATCTGTTATTGTGCTGTTACTTCTTAACAACCGTGGATTCGGTGGCTTATAGAAATCATTAATATCAGTTGACAGTACTGTTAAGGATGTCATAGATGTATGTCTAACCCTGCCTTTACTGAGGTCAGAATCCTCTGTGATATTATCAAGTTCAGGCTCATCAATCACACAGTTATTAAGTTTAATAACAGGAAGTGTGAAAGCACTGAGAGAAGATGAAACAATAGATTTAGTCTCACACTTTTTAGGATAGGTACACTTCTCTCTTTGAGATTCTGTCTGTTGCCTACTGCTGGAGCCTGATGATGTTGAGTTTTTTGGGTGTAAGAGTGTAATAATATTCTTAGGCAGTCCATCCTCTTCCTCGTAAGTATTCCATTTGTGTGGAGTGATTCCATCATTAGATGACCCAGAAAATGACAACAATACATTAGCAGCCAGTTTAGCAGCACATTGATTGTCAGAACATTTGGCATCAGAATCCCCAGATTGGCCAATCCAAGCCCCATTCATGTGTCTCTGCCCTTTAATTCTTTGGCTATGGATATCAATAACTGTGGAATAAATATCTTGCATATGAATCACTTTGGTTTCTTTGTCCCTATTTTCATGTAGTATGGCATTAGCACAAATAAATATAAATATCCCTATCCCCATGGTGAAAGGGCCAATCATTTTCATTTTATCAGAGTGTAAGTGCTGCTCAAAAAACTCCATTAATATTCCAGCATGGTCTGTTGTTACATGGGACCCATTGTTTGGAATTTCAGATTTCGAAGCTACAGGATATCTCTTATCTGCTTCTTGTGGCCAATAACCAAGGATTGCCATTGCAATCCCAAACATCAAAATTAAAATTCCAAGGAAAAGGAAAAATCCTGAAGGTGAATAGAGTCTGATTTTGCCTCTCACTACGACAATGTTGGCTTTGGGCTTACGTTTGGGTTTCCTTTTCACTGGAGCAGAGGATGGAGGAGGAAGATGAAAGTGCTGTGATCTAGCTGAGTCTTGTCTTTTCAGGGCTGCCAGTCCTGTTATTACACCCCCTGTAGCTATCATGGTGTTGTCTTCTCCCTTGAATGCAAAAATAGGATAATACAATTTCAGATGGTAGAGCTAACTTTTGTCAGCATGCACAAGAACATTCTCTAGACAACTATGCAAAACAACTTCAAGAAACATTATATTTTGGAGGCCTACTTAGCAAGTTAAAAGTAAGAACATCAATGAATTAAATTAGAAATTCAGATTGCTTCAAATTTACTTCAACAAAGAATTGCACACTGATATCAAAAGCATCCTTCTTGGCCCCTTATATTAAGATGCTTTAAAAATATCAATAACATTATAATTAAAATGAAAGCTATTACGAACAGAGGTTAGCAAAACACTGGGCCATAAATTGGCTTGGTGAAAGTTTGCATCCTATTTCCACACAGAGTTAAGCATGTCTCTGGTCAAACTATATGTACTAACATTGTACCATGTGCAACTATCTGTAATTACAAATGTCAGAGTGTTCAATAGTCAAAATTAGTAATTAACTGTTCTAGCTTGCTTTAGCTGTCTTCTGGCTTGAGTTGATAGTTTGCTCTGATAGTCAACGTTAGTAAACATCATCTGGTGTGAGTCAGGAGCTTCAATTTGGCATGGTGGCTCTGCTTCATTTGCTGGAGAGGTAAACAAGGACTGAGAAAGTGAAGGATTTGCTAGACTCTTGTTTTCTCTAGCACTTTTTCATGGCCAACTGAGTTTTCCGCATCTCCTCACCTCTTCCAAAGCCTCTCCAACCAGCTAGTCTCCAAAACTCACGACTATTGGCAATGGTCACCCAGATGTCTGTGTCATTGTCCACTAACTTTGTGTCTTGTTTGTTTGTAGCAGAGATGTGGGCAATCAACAGGTCAAGACACATTGACCACATGGTCTTCAGATATATAGCCATCATTCATCCAATGAATGTAGCTGAACCAGTGCATGCTTAGAAATGAGTGTCTGCCAGTGGAATTAGCACATTTCAGGACCTCTAATTTGGCCTGCATCACCTTGTCCTATTAACTGATGCCAAGGATACATCTGAGGGAAGAAAATTGATAACTACTCAGCTTTTTCTCTTGCCTAACATTTGCTGACCAAGTCTCACGACTGTAGAGGGCTGCATCAAGGTCACAGGTTTGGTAGACTCACATTTCATGTTCTCTGTCAGGTTCAGTTTTCCAAATTTTCTTACTCAGCTTAGACTAAACAATGGTATCATTTGCAATGTGTGTGTTGATTTCTACATCAAGTAACAGATTGTTGGTGATTGTGGAATCTGGATATGCAATGCATCATGAACCTCCACTGTCACATTTTCAGTACTGATTGATGGCTGTATGGCAATATTTTGAATCACAACATTTGTCTTCTTGCAAATTAACTGCAGATTATTAATTAAATACATATTAAACATAAGTGAAATAGAACATTGTCAGGGAAGGTGATTGCCTCGTGGTATTATCAGTAGACTGTTAGTTTCAGAGACCCAGGTGATGTTCTGGGGACCAGGTTTGAACCCTGCCATGGCAGATGGTTGAATCTGAATTCAAAAAATATCTGATAACCATGAAACCATTGTTAGGAAAATCCCATCTGGTTCACCAATGTCCTTTAGGGAAAGAAATCTGTCTTCATTACCCAGTCTGGTGTACATGTGACTCCAGACTCACAGTAATATGGTTGACTTTTAACTGCCTTCTGGACAATTAGGGATGGGCAACAAAATGCTGGCCTATCCAGCAAAACCTACATATTATGTATGAATGGATATAAAAAAAATGAAGATCTAGTTTCAAATCTATTCTTGAGAAATACGCTTAAGAATTTCATCTTTCTTACATCATTTAAGAATGAAAAATGATTTTCAAGTTGTTGAATACAGTTCACAATGAAAAATTATGTCTTATGCAACTGGCACTAAATGTAAAATGTGGAACTTGTAACATAAGAGATGTATGAACACACTTATACGTTGTTCATAACTTAGTAATCTCACTTTAAATTTAAAGAATGCATAAAAGAGCTATGACGATGCAGGAGCAGATGACATGCTAAGACTGGGATTTAGCCACACTATCGCAATATTTGGTGGATGTTAGTTCTATCTGGAGCTATAGATGGGGTTTCTTCACATTGTCAGCATCTTCAAACTTTCATTGAAAAACAGAGCAGCTACAGGACAGGACCATGTCATTCATCCAACCAGGTAATATCAGTGTTTTCACATTATACAAGCTAATAGTTCTGATCCATGTTGTTACCATTTCTCTTCTTTTGAATTTCTTTAATTTAGTTTTATATATTCTCATAGTCTCCAGCTTAGGAACTGTCTGTGTATAGTAACACTTCTTCTTCAATTCTGACCTTTGATGTTTAATCCTGTATATATGACTCCTGATTCTTGACTGCTCAACGACTGAAACTAATCTGCTTCGATCTCCTGTATTATCATCCTTTACCACGAATACTCTAAATTTTATAGAAGATTGTGAGTGGAAATAACATGTTAGAAGTGCTAACATTCCCTTGCTTTCTTTACTTTAAAACTCAGTAATGCAAATATTAGACTGCTCTGCTCTAAATTAAATGCCACTGTAAACTGCTTAGACAAATATAAATTATCAAACTGATGCCAAATGCTTTCTTTCTTCTTCATCTTTGGCAGTTCCTCAGGATCAAAGATGGCTTTGTCCCACTTTGGTTTGATGGGTTCTGACATGGCTGACAAGCTTAATGGGTGATCTAATCTCTGTCATAAGTGAAGCAGGTGATGCTTGGAAGGTTTGGCTAATGATTTCTAGGGAAGTACGTGCACGCTCTCTAATATCTTGACTTCACCTCTACATGTTCCCAATGACATGTCTCCCTGAGTTTGGTGCCTTTCCAAAGGCACCTTCTCCATTTTAGTCAGTCACAATCCAGAAACTCCCACGAGTCAGGGTTAAATGGAGAAAATTGGAGCTCACCCTGGACTGGTATATTTGGCTTCTTCAGAGATGTTTCGTTGTAATTGTAAAAACTTTGCCAAAATCCTCCCGGGAGTCTACTGCGAAAAACGAGTTTGGAATAGAAAAGTTGTTTTGAGACTCTGGTATCAGACATATGAATGATGTGACCTGCCCAGATGAGCTGTTTTTGATTGATTATCACCTTGGTGTTAACGTAGGAGGGGATGCTGTTGGTGCCTTTCTTGTCTCCAGATTTGGAGGATTTTGCAAAGATAACAACATGGATACGTCCAGATTATACGTCTCCAGTGCTTTAAGATGCCTGCTGTAGGTTGTCCAAATCCTGAAGCATTTGAAGTACAGGGCTCACGGCTGCCCAGTAAGCTGTGGCCATGGACTTACGATGCTGGTCCTCAAATATGTTTTCTCAGTCATCTGAAGCCCAAGCTTGCACAATGGAAGCGAAGATGAATTTTTCAGTCTATACTTGCATTTGTTCAGAATAGGTTCCTAAGATATGGAAAATATTGTTCTCAATTGATTGGGGGAGTGTAGATGTTTTGCTGTAGAAAGTGGTTGGAACAGGATCTTAGCTTTCTCAGTGTTTACAGGACTTTCAGTAAACACCCGGAATTGAGGCTTTATTAACAAACACAATAACATGGCATGTGCTGGAAGTATTTCATAAGCATTCTCATGGCAGTCAATTTTGTTGGACATTGGTTCCAGGTCCTTAGAATGATCCTACTGACTGATCAAGGAGGCAAATACTTAATCCCTTTTCAACTTTGGTACACTAATTCGGATCACTGGAGAAAAGGAAAAAGAACAACAAGATCTGAATAAGTAAGTTTAGATCAAATTGTATAGAGTATATTAGTGTGATCTTTACTTTTAATGTAAAAACTAAAGTGATATTCTGGAGCAGGGAATGGAAGTCTTAAACTATAAGATAAATCAGTGTTCTGATAAGTGGACTATGCATATTACACATATACAGACTATCAGATCAATTTTTGAAAAGAAACAATGACTTACTGTAACCTAGAAGGTTCAAACAGATTATTCCAAGATTGCCAAAATTGAGAAAGCTGCTACATACTTCAGTAAATGTTAAAAATTGCATTTACTATCATTGTGATTTATAATGACATGCTTATGATTCTGATAAATAACCAATAGTAACATGTGTCATTAACGTAGTCTTGAAAATAATCTAAAGATACTTCACAGCAGTGTAATCATAAGAATTTACACCGAGCCAATAAGTGAGATACTAGGACAACTAAAAGATTGACTAAATAATGTTTTTTAATGAGAATCTTAAAATAATAAAGGCAAAGAGATATAGGGAAGATGAAGTGAAGATAAGGGTAAGAATTTTAAATTTTAGCTGATGAATGGATTAGGAGTCAATATTTTGGATTAGTCTGAATCCGCATCAGTAGAGTGAATCATAATTGTGGCTAGAGTGTGAAATTTGTGACGCAGACAAAAGACAATGGTCTTGATCTTCACAATGTTTAAATGGAGAAAATTGGAGCTCACGCAGGACTGGTGATCAGACAAGTAAGGTGACAACACAGATTCTGCGGACAAATCAAAAGGACTGTTGGTAATTAGAGCTGTATGTCATCACTAATGTCACAAAGTCATAATAGATAGACAATTAACCTTTTAATTCAACTGACTAATTTAATACCTGGGACTTCTGTTTGAAAGAAAACAACTTTAATGAACCAGGACACGGGTTTAAAATGGCTGAGAAAGTCACCTGACCTACGAGAGGGGTGAAGGTTCTAAAAAGCCTCTGATGTGAATTAACAGGAAACATGTCTGGGCAGTTTCCCTGAACAATTTCACACTTCTCATTGTTTGATCTATCTGGAAATAAGCGTAAGGACAACAAGCAACAACCATCTCTGCAACAACTGTCAAAGACAGAGGAAACTTATTGAAATCCATCATGCAAAAGGTACCTTAAGACTCATCCATCTGGTTAAATGATGTCTTGACAGTTTTGACATTGGGAAGTCCAAAACCTCTTTGTTACTATGGATTGCCTCATTGCTTCACATCCAATAGCTGGCTATCTCATGACCAAATCTCCCTCTTATGAAAAGCTTTGATTATAATCTTATCTATTTGTTACAGCAGGAGTAACAGTAAAAAGGGCTGCAGGACAGAATAGCAACAGTTCACTCTCTCAACGGATTTTTTTGTTCAAACTCAGATCCAATCTCTGTGAGGAGTTTGAATACATCAAAGAGATGGAAAATTAAAAATAAACGCAACTTCTAGTATCACAGCATGCACTTTGGAAAAGCATGGAATACATTTTAAAACATTTTCAGAAGAATAACCAGCTTACATTGGCCACAACAACCACCCCACCCCAGAAGACAACCAAATAAACCTCAGCGTATAAAACTCTTTCCACTAATGAACTTTCATCATTTTTTCAAATCCACCTTCTCCACGCTATAACTTGTTATATTTTGCATCCTAATGTGTGTGTGTATTTGCCAGGATTCAGGACAAGCTTTACCTTCTTAATAGGTTTTACACTTTATTTGAGTGAATTTACAATAAAACTAACTCCTTAACTTTGTTAATTCTGGAGATCCATCTAGCTTTTCTTTTCATATAGCTTTAGACATGGTCAGTACATATTAAATTGAAATAGCAAATCTTTGACATTAATTCAAATTCTTTAATCACAAACCTCTGCAATGAAAAGACATGAATTTATTCATTCCCATCTTTATAGTTGCAAAGTACAGACACAGAATCTGATCCCATGACTTCAAATAATATGTTAGGGTCAGCATGCAGCTAAAAAATAGGAAAGGATCAAGGATAAATCTTTGATGTATTCCAGAGTGAATAGGACAAGATCAAGAAAGCAAGTCATTGATTCTCTGGCTATGACTAGATTGGAAAAAGTGCAACCAAGTGGCGCAATCCCAGTCAGCTGGGCAAAAGAGGAGGGGAATTAGTGAAGGTCGGTACAGTTCATAGGTAATCCTACAACAAGCAGAACCACCACTTATTATATGCTTTGTCTAAAATGGAAATGTCACCAATTGCAACATGGTCACTATGGAGAGAAAGTTACCAGTGATGCTGTCTCGTGGATACCATTTGAATTGACAAAGGCGTGACATTAACATTCTTCTATATATCACCAATTAACTAGTGATTGTGAATGATGCTTTTGTGCAGTATTAAATAGTGGTGAGAGAAATTATGCATAAAATGGAACAAACTGGAAGATTCTGTAAGAGATACTTGCATATTTACTATTAATGGTTCCCAGCTCAAAACAAAAGTTTATATATTTCAGTTCATGATGTGAATAGTTGAAGCTGCATTGTTGGAAAATTTCACTGTGATTTTGACGGCGGTACTAACGAACTATCTCTCTGAATGTCCTGTTAGTTAGGTATTATCTTTGTCAATTTCTTTTCAAAAGATATTTTCCTTCCTATTGCCATGCTATCTAACGTTTGAGTCCTCACGCGGTTAGATTAGATTCGGATTGAGTTGATTAATGGTAAATAAAATATCAGCCCTATTTAGTTTTCCATTGCTATTTGTCACAGTTTCTTACTTTCGACTGCATTCCATTAACCTTGTTCACTTCATCTACAGTCACAAAGGAAGTATTTATTTATTCATAATCTGCAAAACTGACATGAAATTAAAGATCAATTCTTGGGGGAGGAGGGAGAGTAGGGTCAATAAGAAGTACATTACAGCTTCAAAAAAATATCAGAATCGCGATATCCCATCAAAAAAACTCGCTCTTTCCCTTCCAAACCCGGCACTTCCATGTGTGTTGTCTAATGGGGTTGGGTATGTTCCTCTTTAAAGAGGAACAATTTGATGAAAGCCTGCAAGTCATTGTGAATATACCGCTGCCCTGTTCCAAAAGGAACAATCAGAGAGGGAGGGGTCCGCCTAGGGCTCATCGGAGGGATGCGTGCAGGTCAGCCACATTTCAAACATAAGGGGCTTCAAACTCCCAGCTTTTATTTGAATACTATCACTATTTAGGTCAGAGCGGCAGTACCTAGCAAACTGGATGGAGGTCCTCTCCCCCACTTCTGGCCGCCAGCGCTGTTCACATTTGCAACAAGTACCAACACGGAATCGCCTTTCGCAGCTTAACACTGATATCCTTCCAACTGACAAGGTCTGGGAATCCACCTCCCAGTTAACAGCATTCCCTACTTACTCGATGCAAAGCCACGATATTAACCGACAATTAGAGACCCTGTCTTATTTCTATCTCATTCACACTTCAAAGCAACATGCGAGGCAGGCTGTTCTCGCAGTTAGTTTATTATATAATGCAGGTTTAATAGTCTTGTTTAGGAGAGGTTTTGGATTTGATCATTGCCCTTGTTTTAAATGGGAACCTCTCACCTGGAGGAAAGAGCGGGCTCCTGTGGAGGGATAGAATCCAGTCTGTGTCGACAGCTTGAAACTGAAAGAAGGGATCCGTTCAGCGGAGCGCAATCCGATGTCCAATGGAATCTGTTCAGTGGATCGAGCTCCTTAGAGTGCCATCTGCATCGTTTTAACTTTCTCTCGCAGCCGTGGTGTCCTGCTATTGCTCGGAACGACTAGAAACCCTTTAGTTTGTTGCTCAACACTTCTGACTCCCTTCGTTCGCTTTCATTATCGGTCATCGTGGACTTGAGCTTGCAGCTATTCCCAAAATGAAGCAAGCTCTGGGCGCTTTCCAGGCGGTTAGACAAAGGAGCGGCACGATCCGCGCTTGGCAGTATTTGCCTATATACAGAATGAAATGATCACACACAGCCACTGACTGTTATAGCTCTCAGCACACATAACCACCGAAGGACTGCAAAGGGGGAAAAAGAAAAGTTGACTTGCTATCACTTCAGGTCTTCAAAGCGAGAAACAAAATGTAGTACTCTGACAATTATTGTTACTAGCATTGCAAGTTATTCTCACACACAGTGCATCCTTAGAAATGAAGGGTGAGGATTTCTGGTAAACTTGTTGTCTCTGGTGATTATTAGTTACTACTTACTTAGACTGAGTTTTACGCCCAGAGTCTCTTCTCCCCTGGCTAGCTGGAAAGCTCAGACTAAATGCTGACTTTGGAGGTGTTAGACAGCAAAGAAAACTGGGACTTTTAGTCCCCCACGTGATGCTTTCCTTACACGGAATGTGACGCACATTGAAACGAGGAGCCTCTAGCCGACCGTTCACTCTCCATTCTCTTTAATACCACAGCAACGTCCAGCTCGGGTTGGGAGCTCATTGGTCATTTCGATTTCCTGCGTCTCTCTGTCGTTGTTAGAACATCTTGCCCTTTCCATATCAATGGTCGAACCTCCCACTGAGAGAGCTAGAGAAAGGTGGATACCATACCCTGAATGTGAATTTACTGGTTAGAGTTCTGTCCATGTAATCCAATGTCTCAAGGAGAAGGGCTGACAACGCCAAGTTTTCACAAACACAGGTCAGAACTAGCAAATAAACAATTCAACATACTTTTAGTTTTACCTCTCAAGTATCTGATACACACACAATCCAGTCCATAAAACGTTCACATATGAAAGATGCATTGAACTCAGATTAAACTGTGATTGTTTAACAATTACAATGGAAAACTAATGAATTATGTTTTTAAAAAGCATCTTGAAAGTACATAAAAGCAAAAGAGTAGCTAAAGTAAGCATTGGTCCCTTAGAGAGTGATAAAGAGGGATTAATAATGGGAGACATTGAAACAGCAGAAACTTTAAACAAATATTTTACATTATGAAGTCACAAAAAGCACCAAGAGTAGTTAAAATTCATGTGGCAAAGTGGAAAGAAGTATTTAGAACAATCACTCACTAGAGAGAAAGTTTTTTTTTAAAAATGGGACTTAAAGCTAAAGAGAATCCTGGACCAGATGGCCTCCATCCTAGGGTCGTAAAAAAGTGACTGTACAGACTGTGGATGCATTGATTGTAATCTTCCATAACTCTCAAGACTCTGGAAAGATCCTAACAGATCAGAAAGTCACAAACATAACACCTTTATTTGAGAGATGAAGAAGACAGAAAGCAGGAGATTAATGATTTCTGATGAAGGGTCTAGGCCTGAAACGTCAGCCTTTCTGCTCCTATGATGCTGCTTGGCCTGCTATGTTCATCCAGCTCTACACCTTGTCTCGGATTCTCCAGCATCTGCAGTTCCTGCTATCTCAGATTAATGATTAGTTAGTTCAATATCTGTCACTGGAAAATCTATTATTAGACACATCATAAAGCATAATTAGAAAACAATTAAACAATTATATTGAGTTAGGTTTTTTCAGAAAAGCCACTGGCTCAAAATGTTAACTCTTTCTCTTTACAGATGCTGCCTGACCTCATAGAATGTTTCCAGCTTTGTTTTTCTTCTTATTTCAGATTATCAGCACCTGGAGTACCTTGCCTTTGCAGGCAGAGGCAGCATGGTTCTGTAAAGGGAAATAGCGTTTGACAAATTTGAGGATGTAACAAGTAGATTTGATAGAGAAGAACTGGTAGATGCAGTACATTTAGATTTCCAAAAGGCAATCAATAAAGTGCCACATAAAATGTCACTGTGCAAGATAAGACTTTAGGGTATTGTGTGCAATATATTATGAATAAAAGATTGGCTAATGAACTAGAAACAAACATAATTAAAAGATCATTTTTCAGAGAGGCAAACTACAACTAGTGGAGGGCCACAGGTGTCATTGTTGGGGTCTCAAATATCTATGATCTAAATGAAAGGATGATGAGATAGACTGTATTGTAACCAAATGTGCTGATGATGCAAAGATAGATAGGAAAGTGACTTTTGAGAAGGTTACAAAGATTCTGCAAGGGGATATAGATAGATTAAGTGAGTGTGCAAAAAATTGAAAATGGAATATAATGTGGGAAATGTGAGATTAACCATTTGGCAGGAAGAGAAGAATGACATTATTATTTAAATACTATGTCATAGAATCATAAAGTCATACAGCATGGATATTGATCCTTCGGTCAACTCATCTGTGCTGACCAAACATTCTAATCTGGCCTAATCCCATTTGCCAGCATTTGGCCCACAACCCTCTAAATAATTCCTATTGATATATCCATACAGATACCGCTTAAATGTTGCAGTTGTACCTGCCTCCACCAGTTCCTCTGGCAGCTCCTTCCATACACACACAAACTTCTGCATGAAAAAAGTTACTCCTCAGGTCCTTTTTAAATCTTAAACCTATGCCCTCTAGTTTTGAACTCCCCTTTAGGAAAAGAACATAGATATTCACCCTATTCAAGCCCCTCATGACTTTATAAACCTCTTTAAGGTCACCCCTCAATATCTATGCTCTTGGGAAAATAGCACCAGCCTATTCAGCCTCCCCCAATAAATCAAACCCTCCAATCCCAGCAACATATTTGTAAATCTTTTCTGCACCCTCTCAAGTTTAACAATATAATTCCTCCAGAAGGGCAACCAAAATTGTAAGGAGTATTCTAAAAGTGGTCTCACAAATGGCTGCAACATGACATACCAACTCCTGTACTCAATGTCTGACCAATGAAGGCAAACGTGCCATTTGCCTTCTTCACCACCCTGTCTACCTGTGACTCCAATTTCAAGTAATTATGCACCTGCACTCCTATGTCTCTTTGTTCAGCAACATTCCCCATGGACCTTCCATTAACTGCATAAGTCCTGCCCTGGTTTGCCTTACCAAAATGCAACACCTCACATTTACCTAAATTAAACTCCATCTGTCACTCCTTGGCCCATTAGAACAGAGGGAACCGGGTGTCCTTGTACATGAAACACAGAAAATCACAATGCATGTACAGCACGTAATCAAAAAGCAATTGGAATGTTGGCTTTTGTGAAAGAAGAATGAAGTATAAAAGTAGGGAAGACTTGCCAGATCCTGTATCTGTACATGGTATTGTTGAGACCATGCCATGTAGTTTTGGTCACCTTACTTAAGGACAAACATACTTACATTAGAAACAGTTCAAGGATGATTCGCTAGGCTGATTCCTTGGATGAAGGCGTTGCCATATGAGGAAAGGTTGAGCAGTTTGGGCCGATTCACATTGGGATTTAGAAGGATGAGATGTGGTCTCTTATTGAAACATATAGTATTCTGAGGAGGCCTGACTGTGTAGAGTCTGAGAGGATATTTGCCATCGTTGAGAATTTAAAACTAGTGGCCACAGTTTTAAATTAGAGGGCCTGCCATTTAAGATGGAGCTGGGGAAGAATTTCTTCGATTAGAGGACCATAGTGTTTAGAATTCTATCTCCCAGTGAGCAGTGAACACTGGGTCATTGAATATATTCAAAGCTTGAGTTAGGCAGAATTTATGATTGACAAGGGTTATGAGCAGCTGGTAGAAAAGTGGAGCAAAAGCCAAATTAAATCAGCCACAATCTTGACTGGCCTGGCAGTCTCAACATGCCAGATGATCTTACTGCTGATCCAATTTTTTATATCACTACACTGTTAACTATTTTTTATAGCCTTGCAAAGATCTTAGCAGAACAATAATGCACATTATAAATTGCAATAAAAACTGAAAAACTGCAGATGCTGTAAATCAGAAACAAAAACAGAAATTGTTAGAAAAGCTCAGTGGGTCTGGCAGCATCTGTGGAGAGAAATCAGAGTTAACATTTCAGGTCGAGTGATCCTTTCTCAATTCTGGAGTTCTGAAGTTCTGAAGAAGGGTCACTAGATCTGAAATGTTAACTCTGATTTCTTTCCACAGATGCTGCCAGACCTGCTGAGATTTTCCAGATTTTTCTGCTTTTGTTGCTAAGCATTTCTGGAATTTTCTGTTTTTATTTCAAATTTCCTGTATTTTGCTTTCCCCATCTCAAAATCTTTTAATTGATTATTGCTTAGTTAAATAATTAAATATTCTTTCCTTTCCCCAGTGCTGTTTCCTAGCATCTCTTTTGGGTTTTAAAGTGGCGTTTGTAATAGTTTTCCTGCTGTTCAGATCAACTAGATAGTTGATTATTTTTCCATCTGTATACTTCACTTCAAATGGAAAGATTCATCTCTATTACTGTCATAAAATGATCCAAAGCTACAAACAAAACAGCAAATAGATTTTAACAGCAAGAGACTTCTCCATATCCATGCGAGGATGACCATTTTCATTTTTTAGCACATGACTTGTGATTTCTTATCAATTAAAGATAAAACACTGCCTGGAAACCAAAGCAATCTCCTGTCTAACAACATTTCCCAATGGATCAATGAGTCATGTCGAATCAGTCACAGCAGCTTCTAGTGTAAATGTAAAAAAAAGACAAACAATATCCCAGCTTGTACCTTGCCCTTATTGCAACTGAACGTCAATGCTCATTACAAGGATATTATTCCTGCTTAGGAAGAACTAAAATTCCTGGAGAATGGGTATAAACTCAGAATATTATCAGGATGGTCAGACTGAATAATAAATGAAGACAGACCCTAGATTGACCAAGCTTTTAGTTTATTTGTGCAGTGCTGGGGATTCCAGCAGTAGGGAGAGGTTTCTCAGTTTGTTTTTTGTTCAAGCTCAGAAACTTCAATGCAATGTAAGGAACTCAAATCTTCCTGATGCCTTTCCTGTACACACCCTCTGGGGTAACGCTGCAGGAATACTAGTGGGTGCAACTTGAGTGTTAGGAGCGGAATTGTAACGCGAGAAATGTTGGCCCAAAGAAAATTGTAACCCCTGAAGTTATGAATGATGTCTTCCTACCAAAGTCTTTTCTCTCTACTTTAATCCAGAAATAATTCTTTTTATCTGACGAGCTCTTTATTGTGCATCAAAGAGAGCATGTCAGAACTCACTTTCCAATTCATGTAGATTCAGCAAACTGTCAAGGTTTTTTCCCTAGGGTGAGGGAGTTCAAAACTAGGGGCCATATTTTTAAGGTGAGAGCGGAAAGATTTAATAAGACCTGAGGGGCAACTTTTTTACATAGAGAGTGTTCCTATAATGGAATGAACTGCCAGAGGAAGTGATGGATGAAGGTACCTTACAACATTTAAGACGTTTGGATAAGTACATGAATAGGAAAGGTTTGGATGGATATGGGCCAAATGCAGGCAGGTGGGATTAGTTTACTTTGGGAACATTGTCAGCGTAGACTAGTTGGACCGAAGGGTCTGTTTCCATGC